CACAGCAGTAAGTATCAGCACAAAGCAGATTATTATTGTAGATCATGCAGGGATAACAAAGGGTAAAATATTTAATTGCAGCAGTGTTTGACTATATTCTGCACAGTGAGAAAACCTGAAGTATTATTCAAGGTCCATCATTTCCTACATCTTTTCAGTTGGGTCAAGTTTCTAAACTTTCTAAATCTCTGTTTTCTGGCTAATGAAAGGAAAATAGGATTCCACCGAGTCTCCTATCTACCTATTCCAGGACTTCTGTGAGGATCAAATGAGATGAGGCATGGAAAATGCTTCACAGACATTTGGTTAAAGTGTAAAATGTTTCCACCTGGCTATAAAGCAAGTTGTGTTCCTGGGCTAAAGAAACTGCAAGGAGGCTAGTCATGAGAGAGAGGAAGCGGGCATTGCTACATGATGTCATTACCTGGATGGACACTTAACATATTAGTCTTTTATATATATATAGACTAGAGGCCCGGTGCACGAAATTCGTGCATGAGGGAGGGGGTGTGTCCCTCAGCCGGGCCTGCATCCTCTCCAATCTGGGACTCTTCAGACATCCCTCTCACAATCTGGCACCGCTGGTTTCTAACCACTCACCTGCCTGACTGCCCGATTGCCCCTAACCTCTTCTGCCTGCCAGCCTGATCGCCTCCTAACCACTCCCAAGCCGGCCTGATTGATGCCTAACTGCTCCCCTGCCAGCCTGATTGCCCCCAACTTCCCTCCCCTGCTGGCCTGATTGCCCCCAACTGTCCTCTCCTGCCAGCCCGATTGCCCACAACTGTCCTCCCCTGCTGTGACCCGCCTCTTCCACCAGGACCTGCCTCCTTCGCGCAATGCAGCAGAGATGCCGGAACCACCCAGGCCTCACCGTGTGGAGGGGCCGCCAAGCCCTGACTCCGCTGTGCATGTGGCCATCTTGTGGTGGCCATCTTGTGACGATGTCACACATGAGGGCGCGAGGACCACCTAGGCTTTTATTACATAGGATTATGTATAAAAGGACATTGTAAAAATTAAGTTAAATTTTTTTTAAAACATTTCTTACATACCATATATTGGCTGGGCTGCAAAAACATTCGTTGTGGGCCACATGCAGCCTGCGGGCCGCTAGTTTGACATGCTTGTATTAGGTAGATCCTTTACGCCTGTCAATCTGTAGTGCAGGACAGTGTTACAGGCTGTTTCTGACTAATTAGATCAGGCAAAGACTCAAAGCCTCCAGAGATGGCCTCTGCCTATAGACCAGCCATGGGCAAACTACGGCCCGTGGGCCGGATCCGGCCCATTTAAAATGAATAAAACTAAAAAAAAAAAAAAGACCATACCCTTTTATGTAATGATGTTTACTTTGAATTTATATTAGTTCACACAAACACTCCATCCATGCTTTTGTTCCGGCCCTCCGATCCAGTTTAAGAACCCATGGTGGCCCTCAAGTCAAAAAGTTTGCCCTCCCCTGCTATAGACTGATAGGATTCTGAGTTGAATTGCCCCCCAGGCAATCGTCCTCAGGTGTGATGAGAATTTTTTTCAACAGGGTGGGGCAACTCCTTTTGCCTGGAGGCTAATTGTTATTTTTAGTCTCTTAAGTGGCCTCAGGGTGTCTGCCTTCTGAGCTCTAACCCTGGAGTCCACAATCCTGGCTTCTGCTCTCACAGCTCCAGTCCACTTTACCCTCCCTCTGCCAGAGCACAAGGTGGGTGGTTCCACAGGAATTTTGTGTGTTGGTCCTTTAAGAGGGTGCCTGAATTTTCAGCTGTTACTCTCTGGCAGACAGCGCCCTGCTCCTTTTCACAGCCAGATGTTATGTGGGTATCCTCCTCAGTTGTGATGCTCTCGGCTAGGAGGCTCAGCTTGGGGATTAGATCCCAGAGTTCTCAGTGGCAACCCCCACAGCTGGGATATCTCTCCAGGACTTCATTTGCTGTCTGTGGGCACCTGGCCAGCCCTTTCAGGCTTCCGCCCACCCTACCAGTCTCTATGCGGTCTCCACTTTCAGTCCTCGGGTATCACGGTTCTTTCCTGTGAGTTTTCTATTGATTATTTAGGTAGTTTATTGTATTTTAGTTGTAATTCCAGTTTTCGTGAATCTGTTTTCTGTTCTCATCTTAAGTGACCGTGTTGTTAGCTGGTCTTGCAAACTCTGGGGATCTGAGCCCTGTGTACATGGGAAAGATGGTAGTCATCAGCCTTATTCCGCAGCTGACTTCATGTGGACCCTGATGGCCCCAGCGTCACTGTCTGGGACAGCTCTCTGCTGCACGGCTCCTGGGGGTCAGAGTAATTGGAAGCCGAAAATGCAGGTGCCTGGGAAGATGAGGACGATGACGGTGATGAGGGTGGGAGGAGCGAGGAAACAGTGGGCAGGTCTCACAAGTGAGTGTCTATTCGCTCTCCAGGCTCACTGGGTCTATACCTGTCACTCAGGACTCTCCGCAGGTGCCTGAGTTCCAGGCATGGAGCCTGGGAGCAGCTGTGGACCATCCCGTCGCAGTGATAAGCTCCGCCCCCACCTGGGCCCCATTTCCACGGGATCAACAGGCAGGATGCACGGTCAGCCTCAGTAAAGATGGAGGCCTATGTCTATCATGATTGCAAACTTGTGATCCTGAAGCAAGTAAGGGTGCGTGGCTTCGACACAGAGGAGCAGCCAGGGTCCTCGGCTCCAGGCTGGGAGGTGGGCCTGTATGCCTGGCAGGTTCTTGAATGGCCTTGATCATATCATTTGATTGAGGTGACACCAGAATGTTGCTCACTAAGGGGGTCAGTTTTATAGTGGATCTGACTTCCGGGCACAGGGTGATCCTCTTCCAGGAAGGTCGACACCTGACCCACATTCTCAACCAGCAAGAGACAACCTGTCCCCACAGGGAGCTGTGAGGTGAGGGCAACCGTGCACGAGAAGTTGCCATGGGTGCCCACATGGGGCATGGATGTGATGGGGACAGCAACACCCAGCAATGAGGAGCTCATGTGAGGCTCTCCCACACCACGGACAGCGTGAGGCTCCAGGCGAGAGCTCTCCCTGCCGACCTCCCACAACCTAGAGGCGTGCCTGTGACACCTGCCCCAAGCACTCCTGTGACCTGCCATTTACAACTTCTTCCCAACCTGCTTTCTCCCCGGACCGAAAGGTAAGCACGCCCGGCAGACGCCCTGCCTCCCACCCTGCTTCCTTTGGTGAACAAGTCCCTTCTATTTCTGGGCGTGGACACCGCCCCTCCAGCTATAGCTCAGCGAGGGGCTCCCAGCCCAAGACGTCTGATGGCAGCCCAGGGCCTAGAAGCTGCTCCTGGCTGCCAGGCCTCCCAGGCCAGGGCACAGGGACAGGAGACCGGCCAAAGGTCAGAATTAGCTGAGAGCTGGGAGTGACCGGGAAGTGATGACCACTTTTTGTCACTGGGTGGCAGGAATCTCCTTGGGTTAATCCATTTGGCAGAAGCAGGCTCGACCCCACTGCCCGTGTCACTAAGGAGATGGCAGGCAAAGCCAATAGCAAAAGGTCCCTTTTCCCAGGCTCCAGCTCAGTGGGTTTCTGTGCGGCTCCCTGACCCGAACCTGTGCTTCTTCATGAGACTCGGGGCAGGTCCTTCAGTCTCTCGGAGCCTCGATTTACTGCAAACTGCGGGTGAAAATCTGTGTCTTTTTTTTTTAAAATATATTTTATTGATTTTTTACAGAGAGGCAGGGAGAGGGATAGAGAGTTAGAAACATCGATCATCAGTAGGCGTTACAAGGATCGAGTACGATCAGATAGTAAAACACTTTGTAAGTTATAACCTGCCACTTGTCACTCTGATAAACTCCAAGGCCCCGGGGCCCAGTCTCTGAACAAAACCACGTCAGACGTGGGGCCAAGCCCTGAGTAGCTCAGAGGGCACTCCCTCTCTGCGGCAGCTGTTGGAGAGCACCGACCTGCCATGCGGGCACTGCTCCTCCCCCCTCCCCGCCATGGCCTGCGACACACAGCTGACACAGCCCCCACTTCCTCTCGGGGCCCCGGCCATGCGGTCTCCACTGCCTGCCTCCCTCTCCCGTCCAGGCCCACAATCAAGCAGGACGCCTGGGACAGGAGCTCAGCTGCCTCAGCAAAGTGTAGTCTCTGTGGAGCGGGTGGGACGGGCCCAAGGCCCAGGCCCCTGCCTGTCACCTGTGACTCCTACCACCCCAACCTGACCAGGCGCCTGCAGACCTACTCAGATGCCTGACGCACAAGACGTCACTGCATCGAAGGAGGGCACGGAGGGCCTGTGGTGGATGCGGCCAGGCTCGGTGGACGGACCTTCCGGGCACACAGTCCTCCCGACACCCCTCCTGCAGAACGGTCCGTGCTGACTCGTCCCAGGGGGGCACAATTCCATGGCCACATCGGTTTGAGAAGCGCTGGGTTAAACCAAGTCACATGGGTTTCGCCAACTCTGGAGCTGCTGGCAGGTTGAGACGGGCGCTCAGTGCCAGTGCCTTACGGTATGTCTGGGAAACCTCCTTCCTTCCGGCTTTATAGCCGGGGACGCTGAGCCGTGGGTACAGTGACCCACAGAGCACCGTGCAGGCTGCAGAGGGTGCGGCGAGATGGGTGTGTGGGCCTGGAGGGGGAAGAGGAAGCAAGCCCCATAGCTGCCCAGGTTCACTTACTCCAGATCAGGGTTACTGTGCAAAGGCAGCCACCCAGGACCACGCGGTCACCCCCACGCCTAAACTACGCGCCACGTGTCGCCTCGCAGCCTCACCGGTGGACAGCGTGGAGAGGAAGGGCCAAAGAGCGGCCACCCCTGCTCAGCCGTGTCCCTCCCGAGGCTGACCCGACGGGAACCTGTGTCCGTCCGTCACGAGGTACAGAGTGCAGACGAGACTAAAGGGCACGTCACCAGGGGAGTGGCACCTCCTAGGCATCCCTCTGGCAGCAGTGCCTCCAGACCCGTGGCACCAGGGAGAGAGTCAGCGCCAGGCACTGGGTCCAGCAGGAGACCACAGGGGTAGGCCTGTCCCTTTACCTTCTTCTTGGACTTAAACACGTTGCACCTGAACACGTTGCTGGCACCGTCTCGGGCGATGTAGCTGAAGATCTTCAAGTCCTGGGAGTCGTGAGAGACATAGAAGATCCTGTGGAGAAGCACAGGGAACCCTGAGAACGTGGTTGGTGCCACGTCCGCGAGGAACGCTCTGCGCCAGGCGCCCTGCGAGCAGAGGCAGCTCCAGACGTGACACGGGCAATGGCGCGGGACAGGGCCCCGCAGTCAGCAGCAGCCCCATCTGGACTCCTGTGCTGCCCGGAACCGTTCCACCCCCATCGGAGCCGGAGACGAGGTGGCCCCTCAAGGGGACAGACCCCTTTCCCAAATGCAGCCGCCTCTCGGTCCAGAGCCACATGGTCTGTTGTGACAACTATTCTGTTCACAGACGGCCAGGGCTCCAGGCCGGCCCATCCTCCCCAGCATTGCCTCCTGCCTGCCTCCCAAGCTCCCCAAGGTCGCTGTGCCCCCGGCAGATGTGTCTTCCTTCTCCTGAGAGTGTGCGGATGGGCCGGATCCTGCACAAGACCCCTGGCCCTTCCTCCATCCCCAGGGCCTGGCGCTCATCTCTGAAGTGCATCCCTTTCTCCACTCCCAGGGCCGCGCTGCTGCCTGCGTCCAGCTCCTTAGCTCGCCTGGATCTTTCCAGCCTCTGTGTCTCCCCTCCACCGAGCCACCCCCCTGCTGCCAGCACAGGGGTATTTTAAACACAGACGCCATTTCCCTCTGAAAGCCAATCAGAGCTGTGGACTCCCTCAGGGACAAGTCCTTCCGGTCTCTCCCTGAGTGCCAACTGCACACCCTTCCGAACGGGCCACGGTCCTCTTCTTGCCTCCGTGGCAGCTGTGACGCCCCGGCAGCCTCGGGACTCACAGAGGCCACCCGAGGGTGGAGGGCCCGTCTGTGCCTGGCGCACACCTGCACCGCGAAGTTTACACGCAGCCCCAGAGGACGCGGTGCCCAGCAGCCCGCACCGCACGTGGCTGGAAAGAAGCCTGGGCTCTGGGCGGAGTGACCGGGACAGGCTGCGGCGAGGAAGGCGGGCGCTGGAGCGGTCCCGCGCTCCTCGGGGGAAGGCCACACGGATGTCTCACTTATTACACTGTCCTGCTGCGCGCCAGCATGAGGAGGAAGCCCCCAACTGGTTCTAAGCCTAGTGAGACCCGGCAACCGCCCTCGTCCCGCCGGCCTCTCCCTCTCGGGGGCTAAGCTCACAGCTGCGACAGGTTCTCCCTCACGTCCTACTGGCACCGCCCCTGCTCTCCCGGACCAACTGCACCCCCACACCTTCCCGCCAGGAGCTCCGGGGAGCTTCCTCTCGCCCAGTGGGCGGCAGCCGCGGACGGACTGACACCCGCACACTCCCAGGCTTTCATTCTCTCCGACTCCACTCGGAGATTTCCCCAGTGATGTCACCTGCTGGCCTCAGGCCCAAGGTCTGCCAGGCTGCCAGCTGGTCCTGGGCCCCGTCCCCTGGGAGGACCTGGTCCTCCCTCCCACAGGGCGGGCTGCAGCGAGGCTTCCCCGAGTCTGCCCCTCTCCCTCCCTCCCCTCCCTCCACCCCCTAACAGTTACCCTTTTGCTTCCAAGGCAGTGAGACCTCCCTATTCCCGTGGAGGGAGGTCAGCACAGACCTTCAGGGCAAAGTCACCATCACCAGAGCTCGCGCGTCCCCAGCCAGTGCCCGACCCAGGGCCATGCCCTGTGCTCAGAGCGCCCGGGCTGTGGCCCCGCTCTCTCCCCCAGCTCCTCAGCGGCAAGGTGGTGCCAAGAGGCATTGAGGCCATGGAGGCTGGAGGCTGAGCCGTGGTCTCTCAGGGCCCCGCCTCCCCAGCAGCCAACAAAGGCCAGGGAGGGACTGGTCCCGTCACCCAGGGACAGATGTCCGTGTGGGCGTGGGCACACACTTGTCATGTGTACCTGGGTATGAGGACGGCACGTCCGGCCACCCAGGAGGAAATGCAGCGCAGCAGCGCCTGCCCCCAAAGCGGGCGTCCAGGCGACTCAGGGCCGGAGACGCAGCCGCGGAGCTCGCGCAGCCATCCTTCCCATCTGCTGCTCTTGCCTCCACAGCGCCTCCCACCCAGGCCAGCGAAGAACAAGGCGATGAGCAGCAGCGGGACGGCCACCCGCTCGCCTGCAGGAGGCCGGGCACCTCCTGAGGCAGCTCCCTCCCCGCACAGTGGAACAGGTCACCTCACTTCCCGCCCGTGTCCCAGGGGTCATGCTGCGCTCTCACAGTCCCCGTGTGCTGTCTGTCACCTCCCAGCAGCGCACACGTCCGTGCGCTCTCAGCGAACCTCCTGTGTCACCCCCCAAAGGCCTGCGGGGCCGCGCTCAGGGCTCAACAGAGGTTTGTGTGTGGACCGGTGGGTTGGTTTACTCATCCATCGCTCAGTTCCAAGTAAACGCCTACAGAACGAATGCACCACCCCCGGGAATTCTGCCCAGAGTGAAGAAATGAATTCAGTCTACCACATGTGCACGGAGCACACCGACGCACCCGACGGTGGGCACGAGGCCGAGGACCGAGGCTGCTCCCACGAGACCAACACAGAAAACACAAGGGCGACGGACAGCCTCGGGCTCCCAGGAGACCCTGGGGGTGGGATGGGGTCAGGGACACGGGGCTCAAAGCGGACCTGGGCGATGACTGGCGCACCGGCCACTAGACCCCACACATCCGGCTTCCCCCGGGGCCGCAGCGCTGCTCGGGGCCTCGGGCCTCGGGTGTGAGGACTGCATCCCTTCAGCGTTCCCACTTTTTCCTGAATTCCACGCATGGCCTCAGGCCTCCGCCACCCCTCTGCGCAGCTGCGGCCTGTCTGGCCGGAAAGGAAGCCCCGTGGAGGGGCTCTCAGAGGTGGGCCCACCGGCTGCCCGAGACACAGCGCCTGCACTGGGCAGGGCGGGATGCCTGGATGCCCGGGTGCCGTGGGGACACTGAGACACCGTCCTACCCAATCCTACTGACCAAGGGCTGCAGCTCCAGATCCAGAGCACCCTCCCCTCACCTGGTCACACAGTGGCCCTTCCTCTGTTCCATTACGTGGTCCTTACACCCAGGGCGAGACCAGGCCCTGTGCCAAGCCCCTCCCCCATGTGATTCCTGGGGCACCTGGACCGTAAAGGCTTCTCCCACATGGGCCTGTCCGCTTCTGTGACCTGAACCCACATGCGAGAGGGTGTGTGTGGGCATCCACACAGGATGCCGACACCACGTGCCCACGCGCCCAGCACGGCGTCAGGAAGGTGAGGCTGTCTCCCTCCTGCAGCGGGACAGGTGGCAGGCCCGCCGGCTCAAGAGGCGACCCCCTCACGGCCCCAGTCCTACCTGGACTCGATGACCCTCTACGGGCCCATAAACTGTCCTCACACCCACAACTTTGGAAGTATGCACAGCAGTGAGTTGTCCTGGGCAGTCTCCCGGGTCTTCCGAGGCCGGTCAGGGCCCTGCCGATGCCGGTGGTGGGGAGAGTGGCCAGGGCAGGACAGCGTTCGCCTCGCACACGGTCCCAGCCGAGACTCTCCAGGGCTTTGCCCAAATTCTACATCGATTCCCTTTGTTCATTCAAGACAACAACGCAGCTCAGAGCGAGATACCGGCAAGTGGGGGCCGAGTGGAGGGGCAGGTCTGAGCCGTCCCTGCAGCGCCCCTCCCGGAAGGCAGCTAACGGGAGGTTTCTGTGGGGCCCTGACTGCGTCTCCCGCCCTGTCAGGGCAGTGGCGCCCTGAGGCCGCAGGGGGCTGAGGGGAGGCCCTCGGACGCTCCGCTTGGCCACCGGGGTCCACTCACTGCCCCGCTGGCTCAGTCTCCCTTCGGCGGTGCTTTTGGCCCGAAGGCAGGGGGAGGCTCAGTGCCTGGAGCACGTCAGTGCAGCCAACAGGAGGTTCCCGTGCCGAGTGTGTCATGCAGCTTATGAAGCACCTACTATGTGCTATAGGCCTGTCCAGGCCTCGGGCACTGCAGTACTCAAAACATGTGTGTCCCACTTTCGTGGTGTTGTGCTCGGGCTCCCAGGACAAGTGGCTGCTCCGGTGGCAGGACTGAGGCCACACGTTTCTGTCCCCCTCCCAGACAATGGCTTTCCCACACCCACTCTCTGTGGTCAGACTGTCCCTCTGACCCTCCTGTGCCTCCTGAGGTAAGGCAGCCTCTCCCTGTCACTCGGGGAGCTCTTGCTCCCGGCCAACCACCTCCTCTTAGAGCCTCAGGCCCAGGCCTGCAGGGGACCCCGCGACGCGGGAGGCAGCCCCGACGGGTCTGTGCAGAGCGCCGTCGTCCATCCGAGGGCTGTGCACTGGCGTGTGGAGGGGGACGAGGAGTAACCTCTTCGCTGCTTTATTTTCAGTAACGAGCCTCATCACTTGGTCACTGCGCCTTGTCCTCGGCCACACTCCCCTGGACACTTACCTGAGGCCCCTCAGAGGCAGCAGGAGGTGCGGTGAGGACCACGAGCAGGGGCCACGCCTGATCTCTGCGCTCTGGCGCTTTGGACTCAGGGCGAAGGGTGCCGTGTGAGCGGGGGTGAGAGGAGGAAGGAGGGGACCCTGTACTGACCCGGCCGAGCAGAGACCCCTGTGCCCCGTCAGGAGACCCACAGCCGGCGCAGAGGGCTGTTCAGGAAAGACGAGGTCACCGTAGCACTCAGGTGGGCGAGAGGGGAACAGACAGAAGAGGGGGCAGCGCAGAAGGGCCTGGAAGTGAGTCTGGAGGTGAGAACAGGGCATGGTTCCTGCCAAGTGCTGGGCAGCAGGCAGGCTGCGAGGAGGTACCCTGAGCGGGTGGCAGGGGTGAGGGGGGTCTCAGGAGAGGGGGAGGACTTGGCTGTGGGGGCGGAGCAGTCTATGGGGAGTGAGGGAGCGAGGGGGGAGGACAAGTGAAGGCAGGACCAGAACACAGAGGTAGGGACACACAGACCTGCCGGGAGGGCAGCTGAGGACCTTCCCAGACGGTGGGGACTCCTGAGGGGGCACAGGCAGGGACAGGGACGGGTCAGAGGTCGTGGAGCAGCCGGCATGCGCAGTGGAGGCTCCTCCCGCCTCGGCTGGAGGTTTCTCGAGGAGGAGATGGGGGAGTGGCTCCTGCCTGGAGGAAGGGGTGAGGCTGGTGGGAGGGTCACTCCCCAGTGAGGACACGTGCTCTCCCTGGGGGGGCGGGGGGTGACCCAGAGCACAGGAGAAGGGAGGGGTGCGGGCCGGAATGCACCGTCCGGAGCGGGAAGGAGACAGCACACGCTGGCCCTTCTGGGTCCTTCTCGACCTCTGGCGCTTGGCCCCCCTCTCCCAAACCCAGTGGCAGGGAGCAGGGCTGAGCTGGGCTGGGGAGGCTGGGAGGAGGGTGTGGGAGGAGCATCCATGTCGGGAGGCCCCCGAAGGGCAGTGGCTTGTGGAGTGTCACCTTTCAGACGCGAGAGGCCCCGTGCTCCCCTCCCCTCACGGGACCCTGCCTACAGCCCGGGCACGACAGCGTCTAGTTAGAGGTCTCACAAATGCTTGAAACGACACATTATAACAGCCCTGCGCCTCCCCCCGAGGAGCTCCCCATCCCTTTGTAAAGGGACCGCCCTCTCCTTCGCGAAAACGTCCCCTCCAGCCCACCCGCGCCTTCGGCTGAATGGCGAGACTGACCGTCGACACCAAACAGGGCAGCAGACCAGAGAGCCCTCTTCTCCCCACGCCCAGGACGGCTCGCCCGCCCCCCGCCCCGGCCTGCCCGCCCCCAAGCTCTCGGTGCCGTCCTCACCCCCTGCGCGTCTCCACAGCACGGGTGCCAATTTCCAGGCCCTCCCTCGATGCCCGTACCTCCCCCTCCGCTGGCACACACCCAGTGAATGCGCCCTGCGGCCGGGAGCTAGAAACACAAGAGCTGGGCACGTCCCCAGAAGAGCCTCCCAGTCGGTGGCAAAAGTAACAGTAACGTCGCGATGATTTCAGCAACATGTGAGCAGTGCGTGCGGTGACGGCCAGACCCGCCCTGCTCACCCCCCTCCCTGGGCCCGCGAGCCGAGACTCTCCGCTGACCGGAGGCCCAGCCCTGACCCCTCTGCCAACGAATCCTGCAGGAACAGCTCACGCCCATCCCGGGGAGGAGACGGGAAGGGGGCGGCGCTGCCCTGGTCCCCGGGAGAGTGGGGTGCTTCCCTCCTGGGCACCCGCTCCCGGGGCGGGGATGCACGGGGCGGTCACCTGATCTGTGGGAATCACCAGCCTGGCTGTGGACGTGGTTTCTGGGGACCCACATGAGACCTGCTTTCCAGTGACCCCAAAGCCCCCGTGCTGAGCGTGAGGGTGGGTGGGAGCAGCCGAGCGAGGGGACCCAGTTCTCTCGCTCTGACCCTCAGGCACCGGATTACAAAATCCCAGTAAGACAAACGGACACACGAGGACAAGGCCTCACCGGACCCCGCGGCGTGGATCAGCCCTGAGCGCACTGAGCGGAAAGACTCCCCTCACCCCGGCAGGCTCTGCTTCTGTGCTGTCCGCAGGCCCGGGCCCGCGGGCACAGTGGGTGTGTAAACTGTGTGCCCCCCGTGGCGCCAGGAGGGACGGTGGGCGCAGCGGCCACGAGGCAGCGCCTACCTGTAGATGGGGTCCTGCATCACCAGCATCTTGGTCTCGTCCCACGTCCACTCCTTCTTCTGCAACAAGAGAAACTGCACATGAATAAGCCAGCTTGTCCTCAGCCACGGACCAGTGCCCACATCGGGCCCCAGGTGCTCACGGGCCACGTGTGCTCCAGAGCCACAGCTGACGGCTCCCAAGGACACGTGAGGGCTGTCTCACCCGCCCACAGGCCCTTCAGGAGGGTCTCCCCGGGAGCAGGGGTGACTCTCAGTCAAGATGCCGGAGAGGCAGGGGCGCGCGACGCTGTCCAGTGGCCGGGGAGGCAGACGCCCCCTCCTCTCTCACGGTGAGGGGGGAGCGGGACGCAGCTGGGAGGAACCCTGCAGCCGCCGCAGAGGTGCTCATTGCCGTGAACGCAGGTGGCCCTGAGCTGCTGGGGAGCAGCCCAGGAGTGGGACCGGGGGGCAGGGACACCCCCGTGCGTGATGTGTGGGGAGCACCCGATGTGTTGGGGAAGCACTGGCTGCCACTCCCAGGCGGGGACCGAGCCCTGCCCCGCCCCAGAGGCAGTGCCATCCAGGCCACTGGGAGGAACACTCTCTCCCGCGGATGAGAGTGAGGAGGGAGGCGAGGCCTCAAGACCAGAGCATCTGCTCTGACGCTGTCAGCACGTGGTCAGCCCTGCGGGTCCCAGAGGCCGTGCACGGGCGCCGCTCAGGCCCGTGGAGACTGGGCCCGCCAGGCACCCGGGCACCAGGAAGAACCACCTCACAGCAGCTTCACTCACACACCTGGCACGGACCCACACACAGAGGCGCACACACACACACACACACACACACACACACACACACGCACACGCCACTACATCCCCGAATGCTGCCTCCATACCAGCCCAGCCCCCGAGGGTTACGTGCGAGCCTTCGGCATCAGGCCCAGTTCCAGACACAGACTCAGCTCAGCTGAGACGCGGTCTGTCCGGAAGCTGCCCTTGGGACAGGCTTCCTTTTTGGCTTTCGGTTCATCCTCACCGGAGGGTATTTTTCCACTGAGTTTTAGAGAGAGTGGAAGGGAGGGTGAGACAGAGAGAGAGACATCGATTGGTTGGGCGGGGGATCGAGCCTGCCACTGAGGAACATGCCTTGACAGGAATCGAGCCCAAGACCTTTAGCCTGTGGGCTGACGCTCTATCCACTGAGCCACACCAACCAGGGCCTGAAAGGTTTGGAGCCACAGGGAGTAAACGTGGAAACGAGGAGACGAAGCCATTTTCTGAGAGAGACCCCCAGAGGCCCAGGCCGCCTCCTCACCGGGGCGCACACCTGCTCGCCGGTCTCCGGGCTGCGCGGCCTGGCTCTCTGACCGGACCCTGATGGGGTCACTGGGTCTCATCCCCGGGCACAGGGACACGCCGACGTCCCGCCCCCCGGCCTCTCATCCTATAAACACAGAGGTGGCGCGGGACGCTCAGGTCCCAGGCTGTCCTGGAGCCCAGAGGACGGAGGCTGACCGCTGTGAGCGGGCTCCGCCCGTCCGGCGACCTCCATGACGACAGGCAGGACCCGCGCTCCCCGCGCTCCAGGCCCGAGGCTCCCCTCCCCAGCCTGGCGTCCAAGAACCGAGAACCGGGTCTGGGCAGACCTGTTAGACCGCCTGCTCCAGCCGGCCGCGGAGGTGGAGCCCAGGAGGTACCGGGATGGAGTTTCACAGTGAGTCACAGGCCCTGCCTCTGGCTCCGCCTTCGCCCACCTGGTGACGGTGTCACCTCTGCGGGTGCTGTGTGCATCGAGGGCAGGAAAGGTGTCCCCGCATAAGAACCAGGGGGCCTCGGTCCCATGGGGGAGGGTCACACAGTCCGATACGTAATGAGCGGTCACAGCCCTGCAGCCTGTGCGTTTCAAAGGGGTTTGTTCTTCATAAACAGTGCGTTGTGTCCTACTTCCTCCTACTCACTTCCCAGCTCGCAGCCCGAAACTCCTCCCAGAACCCCAGGAGTGTGAAGGGGTGCGAGAGAGCAGGCTTGGCTTCCAGTCCGGGAGACCCTCTCAACGCCCACTGTCTGGGCGACCGGCCCCTCGGCGCAGGGACGGCACGGAGGAGGGCAGCGAAGATGAGTCCTTGGGCTGACGAGACGGCCACCCTGAGCACCCCTCGGCCCCGGCTGCCCAGGCCGAGGCTGCCCACGGCGGGGTCGCGCAGGCGGCTCCGGAGGCCCGCGTGGGACTGAGTGATGGCGCCTCCAGCGTCGACGGAAAGACCCTCTCACAGCCAAGCCCCTCCCACCTTTTAGAAACACACCCCCTCCCTCGCCCACCAGCAACCCCAGCCTGTTCCAGACCCGCCGGTCCTCCTCCCACAGCCACACACAAAACAGCCGCGGGTGTCACCACGCGGAGGAAGGCCTGCTCAGGCCACACCCCTGCCCTGCGGCACCGCCTGCCTCCCGCACGCTGAGCACGGAGGACCTCAGGGGCTACTTCAGAGGCGGCTGAAGCAGTGGCTGTGATGGGGGACACGCCGCCCCTCGCCCTCCCCGACCCCCTTCGTCCTCCCCACCGCCCCTCGCCCTCCCCGCCGCCCTTGTCCTACCCGCCGAGCTGGCCTGTCCTCACTAGGACATGATCTCTCCCAAGACCCAGGCGCAAAGGCGAAGGTGTCAGTGTGTGCTGGGGGCGCGAGGATGACAGGAGAGGACGCCAGCCGCCACGACACGGGCTGACCTGCCACGGCCTGCCTGACCCGGCTCCGCGGGGTGGTCCACCCGCAGGGAAGGGAGGTTCCATCCAGAGCGGGACTCACAGGAAGGGGCCCGCGCCCCCACCCCTCACCAGCTCCCGGCTCAGAGGTCCTACCTTTTTCTTCTTCAGAATCACTTTCACTCCGTCCACTGAAACCATAATGCTCACTTTCTTCTTCTTAATGTTCTTGGCTTTGAACTCGTACTGCAGGAGAGAAGGAACAGCAATGCGGACAATCAGACTCGGACCGGACAGAGGCCCACAGACAGCCCGAGGGACACGGACACTCTGGGTCAGAACAGGGACCCTGAACGGTCACCGGCTCGCTGCTCAGCCCACAGGCAGGGCCCCGGATGGACCTAATCGTCCTGCCCACGTGGACACTCTCCTGGGAACCCAGAGCCGCCCCTCAGCGACTCCGTCTGCGGTTTTACTGCCGCTGTCCGCCAGGCGACTCGGCCTCAGGAAGACCCGGAGTGGCCCAGTCTTCCCTTGGGCTGCACACACGAAAGGTCATGCATGCTGTGACTCTCTCCAGTTTCATTCCCAAGTCCTCTATCTGCAGGTGGGTCTCCACGTCACCCACAGCCTGTCAGCTGAAGGCCTGGGGCGGAGAGTCTTCAGAAACCTGACCAGCGACGGTCCTGCCTCAACCCCACCCTCTGAGCCCCTCTAAGCACAGCCCAGCGCCCGCACTGCAGACGGCCTGGCCCCACTCCATCCACAGTTCTGTCACAGTGGCCTACTTCCTACGCTGTGCACATACTCACAACTGGTGGCATAATTCTACATTCTCCTCACTGCACCTCATTCTGAGCACTTACCCATTTTCACCTGGTCCCCACCTTGGTGTCTACCTAACACTCACCTGCCAAACTCCATAATCAGACGTCTGGGCTACAGATTAAAAATAATAAAACGGGCCCCAGAGCCAAGACCTGCACTGCAGCCCACAGGCCCTCCTCCCCGGCCCTCCCCAACAGCCAGCACCCAAGCTGGTCAGGGGCCTCCGGCTTGTTGCCTGTGCCTCTAAGACCGAATCATTTCTTGTTAGGTGTGTCAATAGGAATGTACCAAATGCCCCACCAAGATGAAAACTTTGAAAATATCATGAGAAGCCCAAGCCGCCCTGGGCTGTGACTCTTACTGCTGTGGCTTTACGAGCTCAGCTTAGCGCTTCCCACCCTGGCTCCAGTCTATCCTATCCACCCGTCTCCGCTGAACGGGCCAGTGCTTGGTGGCGCCATCGTCTCCTCCACATCCTTCTTACTCCACTTCCCTGGCAATGAAGTCCACCAGCAGACAGAAGTGCAATGCTGCGGGCACCGTGCCACCTCCCTGGTCTTAGAAGCAGGTGCCCACAAAGCAGGCCCTCGCCCATCTTGATTTCTAGAAGGCCCTGTGGTGACCAACTCCTTGGCCTGTTTGGCCACCTCCCTGACAGTTCCCCTGTCTCTAGGACCCTTTGTAAATCAAGATCCTCACCCATGGCTGGCAAGAGGCTGGACCCCGCCAGCTCCTCACCTGTGTACCTAAAACCTTAACTCTTTCTATAGCTTGCATTTTGACAACTTGGCCAAGTGTTTAAATACCCGCATCTTAAAAACTCAAAATGCAACTAAACGTCCTTTTCGGAACTGGAAGCAACTTGAAGGTGACTGTGGCACGGGGGAGGGGGGGGTGTCTGTGGGAAGCGGGACCCCCTGGAGAAGCACGACTGGAGGGCGCACCAAGTCCCAGGGACAGAGCCGCACAGGAGTCCCCTCCTCACAGCTGGGTGCTAGGCACGGCCTCCGAGTGAAGGGGCCACAGGAGGCCCAAGCAGCCTGGGCTCTCCAGCCGGACACTCCGCATCTACCCTACCTGCCTGGAGGCCAGGTGTCACCAGCCCTCTCCAACCAGGTTGTGGTTCTGCTGCAAACCACAGACGTGGAAGGAAATCGATTTCTGAAACACCCATTGTATTCAAAACCCTAGTATTACAGCCATCACGCCTCCCTGGGGCACCGCGCTCTCTGCTCAAGAGGTGAAGGGACCAGAGATGGAGTGAGAGGGAAGCAGAGCCAGGCTCTCGGGACTAGCCCTCCCTCTCCCCAGCCCTGCTGCGCGAGGGGCAGGTGTGCCCGGGAGGAAGCACCTGTGTCCTGCAGGAGAGGAACCGGGTCGGCGCGGGTTTGCTGGGGCTGAAGAACAAACAGGCGGGGGTGCCACCCTCGGCAGCTCAGGCAGCCTCGCCCTGGAGTCTGTGCCCACAGTCTGCTCTTTCCCCAGTGCTGCCAGGCCGACCTCATGCGCCCGCTTGGCCAGGCCGAGCCCCACAGCAAGGACAGATAGAGCCCGCAGGGCTCAACCCGTGGGGACAACACAAGCAAGTCCTGGAACCACGACCAGGAGGACCAAGGCCAACGGCCTGGTCTGAGCAGCGCCCAGGGCTGCCCTGGAACTGCTGGGCTGCCCAGTGAGGCCGTGAGGGGATGGCTTCAGATCCAGCAGGTGCCAGGCGCGCGCACACATGAGCGAGCGACAGTGAGAACGTGGCTGGACGCCAGCATCTCCCAGCTCCCCAGCTCCTTGTCCCCACCTCCCGGATGCCTCCCAGCCCTGGTGTCTCCGGCCAGCCAGTGCTGGTGACACAGCCAGTGGCAACTTCACAGGGAAAGCCAGGCCCTCACTGGCCGAGAGACACTTTCGTGGCCACTGAGCCCCATTCACACCCCCCGCCACTGCTTCCATGGAAACCACATTGCCACACTTTCAAAGGGAGTAGCCACAGGGACCCCGAGGGACAGATCTGCACAAGGCCGCTGGGCCACGCATGCTGGGGACTGGGGACCCACAGGCTGTTTAGGGGCCTTAATTTCTTAGCAGAAAAACACAATTACAAGTGCAGAATTCAAAAATTACAAATAAATGGGGGTAAAGGCAAGCGTGGCATTTCTTTCTGAAGCGTGACCCCACTGCCTGGTGCAGCTGGACCATGCTCAGGAAGATCCCCTGCAGCCCAGTCCACATGCATATCCATGTTCTAACGCTTCTTAACACCCTCTAAAAGCCTCTGACTTCATGGATGTATATGCTGAGAACGTAATATAATTGCAAGTAAACGTGAATGACTTTTGGCATTCAACTAAGAAGAAAAACAATCTCAGGTGCAGGCAAATTCCACAAGAAAACGGAAGAACAAGCCAGGCCGTGAGGCTATGGGACAAGGGAACCATATTTTTGAAATTGGACACAGCAGGCAAAGCAGACGATTAGATAAAACGGGAACAAGACACTTTCACAGCAGCCACGGAACGCAGCCCAGGGAACGAACGCGGACACTGGTGGCTCCTCGGTTCCCACCCCAGAGCCTGAGTCACCTTGTCTCACGGAGACGCCCACACAGTCCTCCACGTGCTTATCGTGCAGTCTGGCTGCAACTCCAGAAACAGCCCGGGTGCCTTTCTGGATGTGAGAGAGTCTCTTCAAAGATGGAACACATAGCTCAAGTCAGTCCCGCACACCCAGCTCAGGAAGGGTGAGAGTCCATGCGTGTGTGCTCAGCCATGTGGGCACAAACCCCAGAGCCCATCCCAGACGGTGAGACCCTCGGGCCGCCGGTTGCCCCTTCCCGCCCTGAGCCCTGGAGAGACCTCAACCACAAGGCTCACAGCGGAGGGAAGGTCCCATGGGACCACCAAACGTCACCGACACACCCACCGCCTGGACTCTTCCTTCGTCACTGACCGTGTCAAACCCAGCAGGCTGTGCACCCCTGACTCAGCAGCCGTCAGAACGTCATCCCTGTCAGAATGCCGGAACATCAGCCATTGGAACGTCAGCCGTCAGCCAGCCCTGCGACCGGTCAGGCAGGCACTACGGTCATGCTCTCCACGCAGACCGCGTGGGCCTGGCCTATGGGCAGACACACCTCGAGCTGAGTGAGCCGTGGATATGAGACACGGGGACCACTGAGGTGTCCACCTGGAGACACACCAAGGTGGGAAAGGAGCTTTGAGAGGAGCAGAGGTGGACTCAGTGGGGAGAGGACAGACCAGGCAGCACCCGATGCCTCCAGCGTCAGGGCTGCACGGAATCAACTCTCCCAGCAGCACCCGTGTCCCACACGGTCCAGGAGCGGGACAGGGAGTCATTCCTGACCACAGAGCATGCAAAAAGCAGGAGATGTGGTCCCTGATCTCACAGGCCACAGACAAGTGAGAAAGACAGGTGTGTGGCCATCCTGGCCCAGCGTCATAAACACTGACAAAGGGGACAGAGGGCCAGGGATTGGCAGGGAGACCAGGAAGGGGGCGCAGAGGGCTGGGGGGCTGGGCGCAGTGGCCCGAGACCCATCTGCAGAGCTCACGAGTGCAAACAGCCCGCATCCTGCGCAGGAAACGGGCACGGGTGTGGTCAGAAATGAGGCTGGGAGGCAGCCAGGGACAGTGCACAGCCAGCTCTGAAGTAACCAAAACAAGGCAATCAATTTGGACAGAGCGGAGAACTGGCCTGTCTGAAATTCAGATAAAAGAGAGACAGCGCGGCCGGGAGAAAATGTGAAGTCAGGATGACAGCCACGGAGACCACGGCAGCACGGTGGCGATGGGGCTCCGGGCCCCCACCACCTGCCACACCTGCACCAGACAGGAACCTCGCTTCTTCCTGCTCATGAGCCTCCTCTGGCTGATCTTATAGGAAGATCCCCACAGAGAAGCCACGCCCACTGCCCTCCCGTGGCCCCTGGCTTTGGGCAAGTTCCCGTCAGCTCCTTCTGAAAGTGTCCTCCAACCAGAGGCTCTGTGGCACCTGTCGTGCCTGAGGCCTGAGCTGAGCTGGCATCATCTCAGTGATCCCTGCCCCTCCAGCGGGCCCTTCACCCCGGGACCCAAGCCTCCTGACCGACGGCTGGGAAAGGCTGAACGAGAGCCAGCTTCCCCGCCACGTGCTCTGGAGCAAGAAGAGAACTGAGGTGGAAGGACCATGGAGAGCGGGCTCCCACATCAGGCACAGCCACAGCAGCTTTGCCCGCGCCAGGCGCCAGGCGCCACAGCCAAGGCCTCGGTGCAGGCCAACGCACAAGGGACCCAAGACCCCAGGAGAAATGGCTCTGCTCTTCAGAGGAGAGAGACACTGTCATTCCATGAAAAAGCCACCCGTGTGTCTCCATGTGTGAGAGGAGGACGGGCCCACAGAAGGTGAGGGCCACCTGGCAGGATGGG